TGTTGTTCCCCGAGGCTAAGAGCGCCTCTCGCCACATGGCGATTGTGCGTCGCCGGTGCCAGAGTCTCCGCCGAGCACGGTGAGTCGCCGACCATCTTATGGGTCTCCCCTCGGAGTCGCGGCTTTCGAGGAACATGTTACTATGTTCCTCCGCCGCGTACTCCATCGGGGGGAGACCAGCGATCACCGCCGCCGCGTTGTACGCCACAGTCCGGTACGCCCTACAGATCCTCGCGGCTATCGGGCGAAACGCACGCGCCATCTGAGCGCGCGCGCGCCGCGATGCCGCGAGTTTTGGGGCCCAAACTGGGGCCCCGTAGAGCGCCACGGACTTAACCGTATTGGCGTACAGCCGACGCACCTTGCCGTCCGGGCCGCCAAAGTTGGAGAGGAGCCGGCCAAGCTTGGCCGCTCTCACTCCCGCCCTGCTTGCGGCTCTGGCAAGGTGGCTCGCAAAGCTCCAGGTGGCTCGCAAAGCTCCTCTTATCATACACTGTCGCGAGAAGTTTATCCCGTCGCTTGCCGGGTGGCTTATCGCGCGTCGGACAGAACGGTAGGTCAATGTGCGCGTCATGAAGATGCTGTGGATACTCGAGATCGACCTCGAGAATGTAACCTGTCGATGAGCCCGCAGCGATTGCGCTCGCGTCGAAATTCGTAATATCTTCGATCCATCGAAAATTTGCATATCGTAGTGGTTGACACATCTCCCAACCATACAAATTATTGACATCAAAGTATAATACATCAGGTACGAGGATGGTTTCGATGGATCGTAAGACTGTATGTACTTGTTATTGGCTCGAGCGTATCTGTTCGAGCACTGGCTCAAACCACCGCGTATACCGCGTTCCACAAACATGACCATGTCAATGTCTGTGAGCAGCTCGAAATTTACGCGCGTGTGTTTCAGCATGGCGTCCCACGTGAAACCAGGCAAAGTATAATATTACGCTGGATCTAATCCATAACTGTTGATGCTACTATCGCGAAAATTTTCAAAAATGTCGGCCAATAACAAGACATCTATCTTCATATATAAATCGCTGTAGTCGCCTAGGGTCTGGATGGAGAACCGCTGCCAGACATTCTCGGCGCGCATGTAATCGCTCTCGGATACGGTGACTCCGGTCAAAGACCTGAAAAATGACTCGCGCGGAGGTAGACGCGGGTCCTGCAACTTGTCCACGCAATCCACATATTCATAGGGAAATATACCTTTTCGTGTCAATAGATCGAAATCGTTGCTGGATAATGTTGAAAATTCAGATCGTACAAATTTTAATTTGTCTCTATGGAGAAACGATGCCAATCTATCGAGGCTGGTACTCAGAAATTTGTATGAGTCAATAAATCGCATCTTTATGCAATTTTGCCGCTTTGAGTTTTCTATGGTACTTTTTACATTTTTTGTAAAGGAAATGTATGTCTCCTTCGTTGTCGGTAATACATCAACTGTGCCCTCGAACGCGGTAGCGATTTCTTTAATTATGAAATGTGCGTCATAGCCGGATAAATTATGAAAAACGATTGGAATGAAATATGCATCTTTGTAATTTAAGTTACAATTTGAATGTGCGGGGCCTCTATATTGTCCGGTTAGATGGCAATGGTCACGCACCCGAGTGTCGTCTGGCGCGAACGGTTTCTCGCATATGTGACAGTGCGTGGTGCTATTAAATTTCTCATACTGTTCTTTCGAAAGTGTTTGCATGGGAACATTACTCGACAGAATATTCTTTACACGATATGCTAATTCTTCTAGTTGGTCAGCGAACCATGCGATGCAATCCTTGTCACGACGAAACTGATATGTTGATAGCGAGTCGTCATATGAGCAGTGCAGGTAATAAGCGATGCTAAATACTTCATGGTGCTGATATGTCTTCGGATCCGTATCCATCTTTTTCAGGATACACTCCAAGTCGGCGTAGACGACAAACGGCACACGTTCCTTCCTACTGTGATTGTTAAAATTAAGCCACTTGTCCTCCTCGCTGGGTAATATGATCGCGCAGTCATTTATCTGTTGACAGTCCACGCTGTGGGCTTGCAACTTGACGTTGAAGCTAAAGTAGTGCAAACATCTGGAAAGACAAAAATTTTTAATATATATTTTTTCAAATAAAGTAAGTTTCACAAATCTTGTCGATACTCACCGATCGCAAATGTATTTCTTCTCCTTGTGTTTACTGAGCTGAGAACTGATGAGGCGGGATAAATTCTTTATCCAGACGAAGTGACCCACTTCAGCACCCCTCTGATCTTGTAGGTATAAAAGGTTCACGTGCTTCTCCTTCTTCTCATCGGCAACTCGTAGCGGTACGACTGTGCATTCCTTCTTCTTCTCGACGCTGTAAACGTTGATGGAAATACTGTTCAATTGTTCAATTTTTTTCACTTGGTTGAGTGTCATTGGAAAGCTAATGTCTCGCAGGTTTAGCACGTCGCTGTAATATGGATACGACGATTTGCGCTCCGCGTTTCTTTCAGCTGGATAGAGAGCAGCGACCACCGACCACGCGAAACACGCATTGTCCTTTGATAGTACGTTGATAGTACGTTTGATAGTACGTTGATCACCGCTTTCTTTCGTTTTACCACTTCTGGCATGTCTATAGGACATCCTGCACGCATAGGATTGCTCTTGTTCACGTTAATGGTTACGTTGTATATACGCGCCAGCGCCCACCCGTTATCACGCTCCTGAAACTCTTCGAGTTCAGCTAGAGTCGGACCGATTACGCGCGACTCGTACCACTGTTGTAGGTCCGTTGTAATAAACAGTTCATAGTTTTTGTATTTATGCTTTTGTTTGCACGTTTATCACCCGCCACAAACTCTCTGTTGAACATAGTATTCACCTTTACACAATTATAGCGCTCGATAGTGTCTCGCACATGCTCGATCACGATATCGCGAGCGTCATCGAGAAATTTGCGCGGGTCAATGTACTCCGCGTTAATTACCGCTCCGGTAAGCACGCGACTGTCAAACGCGGTGTCGATCTCGCGCCACGACAGTTGCGCTCTCGAAGAAGTTCCAGCACCGCCACCGCCGAAATGTACGAATCGCCTTTCAAGTCGGCACTTGACACTCTCGAGTCGCGCGATTCGAGCCACCAGCGATTGTCTGTTACCGATGGATAGCCTCGGACGCTTGACACGGCTATGTTCCTCTAGCTCTGCGATACACTCGCCGCATTGCTGCAGCCACCCCAAATAATCACCTAATGTGGTGATCCTGTCGGCTCGCTCCATCAGATCTTGCTATCGTTGTTCCATGTTGTCGCGCTAGCGTCTTTTCAGACTTTATACTGTCCACAATGTTTTTCTTCTCGATCTCGTATAAAATCTCCTACTGTGATGCGGCTGGCTTCCGAACCGATTATACAGGGTGTGACGTGACGCTTTTTGGCGCCCGTCACAGGGGCGAGTAAGCCCGACCGAGGGGGAAAGATTGAGGTGCCCTCTCACCCGGGAGGAGGCAGGCTCTTTTATTTGGCTTGGCGTTTGAGCCATATTTGCGTAGAATGTAAGGCCGTGAGGTTTGCGTTAGGCTACGGAGTGGTTGGTCCGGAACCCCCTTGTATCCTGGAGCAGCCTTCGAGGGAATCTCTACGGGACTCAGCGGTGCGGCGGCGTGGGCCCGGAGCCGGAAAGAAGCGTCGATCTCGATCAGGTCAAGTAACTACTCCCTTGCCGTTAACAAAATTTTGGGTCGGAAATCTATTTCGCATTTCTTGCAGCTGCAATGACATGGGACAAGGACGACGGCGGGACGGAGGGAAGCGTGCACGCCACTCTACCTCAGGGTGTGACTCCACCACGGGGCCGCCCCCACGCTCGGAAGGAAGGCCTGGGAGGATGAGACCAGGAGCCTGGCCAGCTATGGGCATCCTCGAGGAAGGTCAGAGCGGGCGGGGCGGGCCGCCGAAAATTCGCCGTCAGCCACGTCCGTTGCGTCGAACAGCGCGCGGAGCAACGGCCCAGGAGGGAGCAATCGATTGTGGGATCGATTGAAGGATCGAGGATCGAGGATCGTGCGCGACCGCGTGCGCGGCGCGATGCGCGGAGCGCTACCGGTGCCGAACGGGTCCCACGCCCGGCACTGTACGACGGGACGGCGACCAGAGAGGAGCACCTGGGGATCGACGAGCGTCACGGATTGTACGACCACCACTTCGGGCCTTCGCCTTCGGTAGGAGCGAAATCGGTAACCCCGCGTGTCGGTCGGGCCGTGTGGGCTCGTCCTCCTTGGCGACGAATTGCCCGGTTAGAGGTAGCGTGCCGGTATTAAGACCGGATTGAATCGCCCCCGACACGCGGGCGACGCCGCATTCCGCCAAGATACTCTCACTTGCCTCGTCTCTCCTCGGGGGCCGCCGCCTACGTCAGCCCGCGTCGATGCTTCGTCGCATATTCGGTCGGCCACGTGATGGCCGTAGGTTAATTCTTTCATTGCGTGCTCCGGTCATGGCGTAACGGTTCCGACACGCTCGGTTAGCCGAAATCTCGTTTGTCGCGTATCAGTCGTCGTATTCTCGTTTGTCGCGTATCCGTCGTATATTCTCGTTCTGTCGCGTATCAGTCGTCGTATTCTCGTTTGTCGCGTATCCGTCGTATAGTCTCGTCCTGTCGCGTATCAGTCGTCGTATTCTCGTTTGTCGCGTATCCGTCGTTGATTCTCGTCCGGTCGCGTATCCGTCGTTGTATTCCCGTCCTGTCGCGTATCCGTCGTTATATAATCGATCTGTCGCATGCTCCGGTTGTAGCGTGAAAGGCCCAGCGCACGCACTGGGCCGTATCCTCGTGTAGACGCGTAGCCGTCGTCACATAACCGTCGGCTGTGTGCTCATGCGACCGCCCCGTAAGTAGGGTGGAGTTATTCCGCCGCGGACGTGGGTCATAGCGTGATCGTAAGAGTATTGTACTAATTCCGCCGTGTACGAGCCGTTCGGCTCCCAATGTCAACAGAATATATACCATTGTTACTCACCGGAACCTAACCGGGTGCATTTCGTGAACGCCTGCCCGAGCATACCCCGCGACCGATCCCGTACCGAATCCCGCCCATCCGACCCCGGACTATCCCCTGAGCAGCCGAGGGCCCCTAGCGGTTGCCCGACCCCCGTGGGTGGAGTTAGTGACGGCCCGGTTTACCCGGGCCTGGCGCCCAGAAACTTTTAGGAAAAGAGAATCGGGTCGGCAACCGTCAAATTGTCGACGGGATTCGAGCGAGGCTCTGCCCCAGTTAGAAACCCGTCACAAGGGTGAGGGAAAAGTACCGGACCGGTAAAATATCTCGAAAAATATGGGAGATACGGAAAAATGTTTCAGACGAAAGTTGTACGGTTTTAAAGGGGCTATATAATGGTAAAATTAATGTTCCAAAAAAATTAATTTTTTATAATTATATGGAGGTCGCCGCCATTTTTTTAAATGGAACTCCCTATTGTTTATTATACTATTTTATTCTACTAATTAATATGAACAACTTTTGTCTGAAACATTTTTTGATTTGCCTAATACTTTTTGAGATATTCAAGAGAAAATTAATAACTTTTTCAATGTTTAGCTTATAATCTCTCGATAACGGTTTGTCGGAGGGAAAAGTAGTATAGGACTTTTTTACTTGATTTAGTCTCAGGAATATGCTGTTGTAAATGTGTTCCAATATTGCAACACATAAAATTTACATACACAAAA